AGGGAGACCTCAGCTCAGCATCTTAGCTGCTAGGGGACCTGCAATCAAAGGTATTTGAGTCAAGCCGAGCTCGAACTTCTGAGTTCAAGCTTAAGTCTCTAATTCGAATCGAGCTCGAGCTAAACGACACCTTGACCACTGAGGGAGACCTCGGCTCGGCACCTCGGTCACTGAGGGAGATCTCAGATCAACACCTCGACAACTGAGGGAGACCTCAACTCAGCACCTTGTCAACTAAGGGAGACCTTAGCTCAACACATCGCCTACTAGGGAAACCTCAGCTCAACACTTCAGCAATTGAGGGAGACCTCGGTTTGGCACCTCAGCAATTGAGGGAGACCTCGACTTGGCACCTTGACTGCTTGAGAGACCTGCAATCAAAGGTAGCCGAGCTCAAACTTCCGAGCTTTTAACTCGAGCCAAGCTCAAACTCGAGCTCAAGTTTCTAATTCAAATCGAGCTCCAACCTGATAGTTTATGAGCGAGCCCCTACAACACAGGGCCCCCTCCGCTAGTAAATATATTAAGCTGAAATGTGTACGTAAGAAGGCTTGAGGATGAGGGAAATGGAATCTAATAGTATTTTTTGCCTTTTTTTCATAGAAATTACAAGAATGCCACTCTCTACCAACTCTCTCTCTTTTGCTTTTTTTTCTTTCAAATTACAAGAATGCCACTCTCTCCTACCAACTCTCTATCTCTCGCTTTTTTTTCCTTCAAGTTACAAGAATGCCACTCTCTTTCCTACCAACTCTCTCTCTTTTTCTTACAAATTACAAGAATGACATCTCTCTCTCCTTATAAATTACAAGAATGGCACTCTCTCCCCAACTAAGGGAGACCTCATCTCGGCATCTTGGTTGCTAGGGGACCTGCAATCAAAAGTAGTTGAGTTCGAGCTCGGCGGCTTGAACTTTTGAGCTCAAGCTCAAGTCTCTAACTCGAATCGAGCTTGAGCTAGACGACATCTCGACCACTAAGGGAGACCTCGGCTCAACACCTTGATCACTGAGGGAGATCTCGGCTCAACACCTCAACAACTGAGGGAGACCTCAGCTCGGCACCTTGTCAACTAAGGGAGACCTTAGCTCGACACCTCGCCTACTAGGGAAACCTCAGCTCGACACTTCAGCAGTTGAGGGAGACCTTGGTTTCGCACCTCGGCAATTGAGGGAGACCTCGGCTCGGCACCTCAGTTGCTTGAGTGACGTGCATCCAAAGGTAACCGAGCTCGAACTTCCGAGCTTTTGACTTGAGCCGAGCTCGAGCTCGAGATCAAGTCTAATTCGAATCGATCTCGAGCCTGATAGTTTATGAGTGAGCCCCTGCAACACAGGGCCCCCTCCACTAGTTTTTATTTAAATAACAACTTTGAGGGGTAAATTTGTAAAATACATAATTTTTAGACATTAAAACATTCAGATTACCGAATAATTTCACTATTTTCAGATGTCTGCAAAAGTGGAAAAGCAAATTTTCCACTGAATGCTTTCAGAGCTTTTTCGGAGGTGTTTTTGCTTTTCAAACTTCAGACCATATTTACCGAACGCCACCTTAGTCCTACTTTTTTTAGAGCATCTCATTTCTAGGGTATTTGTCCATAATTCTAACTCTGCATTTAATTCTTCCTCAGTTTTGTCAATTTTATGTCATTACCACCCAAAATACACCATGGAAACTCCTACTAAATAAGCAGAATTGTCTGGAGGTGAATGAACTGAATGGTAGAGTTTTTAAGAGCTATGGGGAGTCAAAAGATTATAGGAACCACCATTACACATGTGGCATGAATCAAAAGTTCAAGTCATTTTAAGAGAAGCAAATTGCCCCAATTAAAAAGAAATTGAAACACAATCTCACAAGAAAGTGGAGTGATCAGTTTTGAGACCTCAGAAATGAAAGGAGATGAAAAAAGAAAATACTAAAGGCAAGTTTCAAAATGTCATAACCTACCGTATGATGTGTATCGGTTTTGAACCAAGCAATGTGCTATATATTGGGAATTACAGGCATTTACCATGTTAAAATAATAATATTAGGTGTGCACTTATGGTGGTTACATGGGCATTGATTAAAACCAAAAAAATAAAGTACCATTGCTTTTAGACACTCAATATTGAATTTTTAAGTATCAAGCATATGGATACTTTGAACCATGATTGAAGGAGAGGAGAATGTAGCACAATAATTGGAAAATAAGAGTTTCAATATTTGAATAAAGTTTGATAACCATCTAGTTGAGAGTAGGGACTTAAAATAAAAAACAAATCGTACACATTGCAATTGTGGAATGTTGTCAAGATGGAGTTGAAGGAGTGGTGGCAAAAGGTTGAGTAAATCCAATGATGATAAAAAGGATTGACAAGAGTTGCTATCCAACATTATCTAAGGGTTTAAGTCTGGCTAAGCAAAAGGAAATAGCTTCAAATAAAGAAGAGTCATCACAGGATGCAAGAATCAACTATGCCAAAGAAGCTTCTTCGTTGAAATAACAAATAGAGTACTCCAAAAGTCCAACCAACAGGAGAAGGAGAATGGGGGAAGGTACTTGTATGGATGGAGGTTAGAAGAAGGCTCAAAAAGACAGAAGGGCTATCAGATTTGGAAAAAAAGTACCGTCATTGTACTTTACTTTCTTTTAATAAATTTTACTTTACTATAAAAAATATGCTTAGCCAATTCATTCATGACTAGAAAGAAGAACAAAACAAAAATCATAATTTTTTTTTATCAATAACTCTGAAAACTTTCATTAATTATGAAGCTTAATATACGACAAGAAGTTACAAAGAAATCAGCATAGAAGCTGACCCAAGACAGAATTACAAAAGTGCCCAAAACATCTCTGTTCTTTGAACTCCTTGCTTTACTAAGCTATCAGCCAAGCTGTTGGCCAATCTCCTAACCCAACCCACCTGCATAGACATATTTCTAGACATCCATTTGAACCTTCTGAAATCATAAAATTTCATGAACGCATTCCCAACTTACAAACCCATAATGACAAAGGTGGCTCTTTTTTAGCATTTGTCATTTGGTGATGAAGAGGAGGTTGGAACTTGAAATGGAGAGAAAGAAAAGGAAACAAGAAGAGGAATGGAATAAGTAGTTAAAGAAGAGAGGTTGGTCAATGTTGAAGGGTAAAACGACCCTCCAATCACGAGCTGTCACATCGTGGACAAAACCATCTTACTTACGACACTTCGGCATCACGTGTGGCACAACCTCACTTGAATGCCACCAAGAGTAACTCCAACCAAGCTTAAGAGCAAACCAGCAAATCAGCTTATAGGACCAGGACACACGTTCACTAATAGTCACAAGCACTGACCTACCTCTTTGACCGGGGTAACCCGCAACCTGAGTGATCACACCGACCTCATTATGGCTCTGACCTATGTGGCGCATCCCTCCTCAACAGTTCGTACCACTTAGCGCCCCCAAAATGCGTGCGAACACAACACCCACCTGGCAACGATAAGTCCAATTCCCTCTACACTACTTTGCGGGGAACCATATAAGGGCCACCACGACACCGTGTGGGCATGCTCCATAAGCAGCAAACAGATAAGCCCCAACGTCTCCAAATGTGTCGGGCATGCCACAACCAACCCTTGAACCCTATATAAGGGTGATTCCTCACCCTCAGAAGGTACGCTCACTCTTTTGCATACTAGCTCTTTGCTCTAAATTCATGCTCGTAAGTTTCCACCCACTTCGTCAGCTCAATGCTAACTTGACCGTCGGAGTCTCCTACGAGCCTTGGTTGGATGCAAGAGTACCTCTACAGAAGCCTGCCTTCCTGTTTGGAAATTTGGATGATTCCATTGGCAACTTTGCATGGGATCAAGTGGTTTGCCCTTCCCGCCCACCACCCCTCTAAAGGGGATTGTTCCAAACCGAATACGCACTCACGTTTTTCATCTGCAATCTAGGTGAAACTTCGCGTCGGCGCTGACGCGCGAAAGCCGTTGCGCTAACAGCAAGAAAACGGATGCGAGTTAGTGCAACTCCATGAGCACTGACGCATGAAAGCCATTGCGCTAATGTGCATCCAGCAAGCAACGGCACCGCTCAATCTAGCCCAGGTCATCCCCCCGGGCTGTCTAACGTGATCTCGTCTTGCATATTCGACCAGCCAACCTCATCCAATGATATCTGATCTGTCATTGCCAGCAAGGACTCAGCGCGAATTGACTCTCATCAGTCAGGATTAGGTATAACCTGAACTTTCCCTAGTATGTGCCTCATTTTCTATCAAGAAGCATACCTTGCATGTAAGATGTTCGAAAAAATGATACAAAATACTTAATGTGCACCCCAAAGAACAAAAGGAATTGTAATCTGGAACCATCACAAGGCTTTTTAGCACCAGATAGGATCTAAACAAGTAAAGATTTTCAGAGATGTAGCTCAAGAAATGTAGGAAACAAGACTCTAACGGGTCCGTCAGAGCCATATCTAGGTTTGTAACAGTTTTGAGCAGTTGGATTTATCAAAAAAAAAAAACAGTTTTGAGCAGTTGGAGAGGTATTACCATAATGGAAATTTCAGAAGCCTCCCTTGAGGTTTTTGATTGTAAACTTAATCCCCCTTGCATTATGAATTTAGCCATAAGGATAAATTTAGCTTTTTTAAGTGTAGAATAACAAATTTCTCTTTACGTTTCTGGGTTTTTTTCTTAATTGTGTTAGGCATGGAGAACAGGACATGGATGATGATGGAGAACAGGCATGGTAGTGAAACTTTGTTCAATCTTAAAAGTTAAAATATACAAATAGATCAGACAATCAGTAACACGTAATACAGAATACTGTGTTATTTTTTTCTTGTAACATGATAAAGAGCAACCCCATGGTAATCAACCCCCTTCCATAACCCTAAAAAGATTCTTAAAAATCAAACAAAAAACTGAGTACAAAATCATGGTCAATCTCCAAATTGCATCAATTAATGAAAAATATAAACATCGCAATGGAAGCATAAGGCGAGGATCTCACCGTTTTCAGTTGTCTAAGCTTTCTATGGAGGCCAGTAATCTCTTCGTCCAAATCACCGTGCATCGGATCGATCTGCAACTGTATTTCATTTGAATTAGGCACTGATCTCGTGCTAAGACCTTCCCTGCAATACAAAAAGATTTTCAGGGAAGAAACATCAATCAAGCGACCATTCGAAGCAATTTCTATTTCAGGATATTGAACGCCTACCTAGATCTGTAAGGACCTGCGCCATATAGGGTTCCTTTATGGGAATTAGCCATTGTAAGATAAATGAAACGAGAGCAAATCGATAAAAATGTCAGAAATGGCAGAAACCCTAGGTCTAAGAACGAGGCCGAATTACAGAACAATTCAGATGAGAGAGCGCTTTTCCGGCAAGACCGCAAGACGCCAAAAAATCCAATTGACCTCAGAGTCCACCACTTTTTATATGTCGGGCATCGGTAGATCGAGAAGGAAGGTTCGAAGTTAGGATCATCTGCGATCTTCTCCTTCACATCCTATCTGATATAACTCACCTGACACTGCGGTGAGGACGCATCGATCTTCCAGTAAATAAGCGGTTAGGATCGAGTTGTCGAAGATCAAGTTGCCCATACACCGTAGGATACGGTAGATCGAGCCCTCTTTAACGGAAGGAAATAAACCCGTATATTTTCATGACCATCGATCTGGTGCATCTTATGGGCCCAATGTATTGCAGATTTGGCAACGCATACTGGGTCCGATATGCTGCGAAAGATCTACGGCATTACCCGTAGCACAGCATTAAAGGTAAGGATCTTTTTGAGAGAACGGTCATTCCTTGATTTCCTTCCCTCTCTCTTAGGAATGGGATCAATAGGCCATTCCGGTTCTGATTCCAGAAACAGTACCATTTTTTGCCACCGGTTTCCCAGTCAAACGGTCCTACCGTTCGGTTTAAATTCGGTTCGGAAGGTTTTGGGTCTAAAACGGGGCCCAGACTCATGACCGTTCCCGTGTCAATCGGTCCGATCCAATTTTCAAATTATGATTATTTCATTCCGATTCCAATTTTCATCTATGCATCACTTGGCCTATTACTATCTAACACGTCAGCTCCAGACACGCGTGTATCCGTTATCAATCTATTGTGATGACGTGCATTATCGTGATTGGCCCATTTAGGCACGTAGTGTGTGAAACTGTGAATGAAGAAGTTACATGGCCGAATGGCCCACAACACATCTAATGTGACAGGACAGTGGTTGATCAGGGATATTTGTGGAAGAAACCTAGAAAGATGTGTGAAAACCCTCTGCTTTCTTGCGGTCTGATTGGTTGGAAACAATTAGAATACTGATTAAAAAAAAAAAAGTAAATTCCTCAACAAAGAGGATAAGGACATGCGAGCCTTCCCGTATGCTGCCAAAAAAGCGAAAAATCAGACACAAAAACGGTGAGAGACTGAGAGCAATCGCCAATCAGCATAACTCATCAAACCCTAATCCGTACGGCCACAGGGTTATAAAACGTGAATCAGCAAAAGCTGACACACAGTAAGATTTTTATTTTATTTTATCTTCATAAGGAAAATGAAGGTTTTTTATTGGGGTCTGAATTAGTGTACTTTAATTAAAATAATAAAATTCATTATCAAAAAGAAAATTAAAATAATAAAATATTTCATTGATTAACAAAAAAAAATTAAACTATTTCAGTAAAAAATAGGGAGAAGTACAAATCAGCCCAGCTCAGAATTTACTAGGCCCAAAGTATAGGGGAAATGCATCTGACCGTGAATTGATGCCAAATTCACGGGTAAGATGTGGTTTATAAGGGCTAGTTGTAGGGAACTGGAATTCAAAATTCTGCATCGTGTGTCTCCCTACTTTTTCCTAAAAAATAAACAAGACGTTAATGCCCTTGATTGGCACAATTCTCTGAGCCACTGATTAAAGTGGGCCCTGTGTCAGTGTGTCTTGAACTATCTCCTTCACCGTTCATGGGTTCGAGACATTTTAGTAAAATCAATCAAACGAAAGAAAACCTACTAAGCCGATCAAGGAGATGATTGAGATCAATACACAATGCATGAGTCCACGATGATAACAAGAGGATACCCTCATCAGAAGGGAAAAAAATCGTTCGCTATTGATACATTTTTCAGTTTTCACTAGCTAAACAGTAAACAACTCTTACTGTGAGTTCATTTACATTTAATAAGGTCAAAGGCCTTTGCTTCATTGCGGTTCAACGTGACCCCAGTCATCAAACTAGTAGTCTCTCATGGGTGTAGGTATATATGTAATGATCGAATTTTAGAGTACGTACCTGTTCACTCATGATTGAACAGCAGAATACTAAATATATTGATACATTATCTGTTATAAACAAGTATACAACCTTGTTAACATCAGATTCTGATTTGTTCAAAGTTTTTTTTTTTTCTGATAGGCAAACTAACTAATATTAATATTAAACGAATTGAATACTTATAAAGTCATGCACATTTGGTAGCCAGCTAGGATAATTTTGTAATACAAAGTGATGGTCCTGATAGTTCTTCGCCCACTGAGATACTCTATTTGCAGGGATATTAATATTATACTTTCTAGGGACAAATTTTATATTAACATAAAACAGACTTTAAAATAGTATTCTTAAATTTTAATTTACCAAAATATATTTAGACTTGCCCATGCCAACAGAGAGCTTGGAGGGAATCTGAGCATATAGTTACTCGATCGGCTTGTGGTAAAGTTAGATGTAAAAAGAAGATAGTATTGCTTCCAATTCTGCCTACTACACCCCTGATTCCCTCGTCGGACCTCGATCTTCCACCAAAAATCCATGTACAACACAAATTTTGAGATAAGCAGAGTAGCAGACGCATTCATAAGAGACTAAATTATTAAACATTCCACCATAGGATAATGTTTGTTTGGCTTGGAACTTACAAGGTTAAAATTGGTGGATTATGAGAATTGCTCGTAGATAACTTCCCTTACCTGAATAGAGTTATTGCAAATAGTATTGATTCTAGCAATTACCCATTGGATTTTTTAAGCCTTATCAAATTCCATTCAAATAAATTCTCGTCATACAATCATGAAGTTATAAATAATAAATAAGTCACTACAAAGTCACCAGTAAACAACAAGAAAAATTATCATTTAGTAGCAGACAAAATGCTGAGGAAGCATATATATTCCATTGAGCATCGGGAGAGAAAACTCATGAGCCTTTGCAGACGACTCAACAAATGAAGAATGACAAAAAAGGAGGGCATTTTTTTTACAGTGTTGTCTTTGAAAACCTTTTTATATCTTGCAAACCAAGATTTGTTCAAAATTAAGTACAGATATTCACAATTTCCAAAGTATATATTTGGCATCGATGCTGCAGATACAGCAGATGTGTAGGTTGGAAATACTGTTTTCTTAGAAAACRGTATTTCTTTTTTTGTTTGGAAACATTGATGTCAGGTAGGACGTTTCCTAGAGCAACAGCAATACCTTATGTTTGGTACTAGTGCTCCATATCTGTTTTCAGCACTAGTACCCATTATAGGAAGTCTACGTCACTACCACATCATGTCCTCGTTGACAGATATAAGCTCCAATCTGAGAAAATGTCAAATTCGACGTTGCTCCAAACCACGCCTTCTCAATTCCTAAGGCATGACTTGGACCACCATTTTTTATGGAAGAACGGTTCCAAACATATTGGCGTTTCTTGGAGCACCATTTTTTCGATGTGGCACTGATGTATCACCATTTTTTATGGAACCATTTTAGCCACCGGTTTCCGAATTGATGGTTCGACCATCTGATTTGAATGGATGGCCCATTCTAACAACAAAAATTAAAAAAAAAAATAAAAAACAGTCAAAACCGTTGAATGGGTTGATGAGTCAACGATTCAACCGCCCAGGTCAACGAGTCCTTGACCGATTCAACGATTTTTGGACAGGGACTAGGTTTGGGGTAAAATGGAACAGGTTGCCTAGACGGTTCCTGGGCCAAACAGTCCGACCATCCGGGTCAACGACGGTTCGAAAAACCATGCTTTGAACCTTGTGTATATCTTGAAAAGAGACCAAATTCATTATTGTAGCAAGAGGACATTGGTCGGATCAAGTCTCATGGCCAAATTTTTCCTTTTAATTTGTTCTCTATTATATCATGACCAACTTTAAGCTCAAAAGTAGGGGGATCAATTGGTCTAGATTTGGTCCAATATGAGTCCATTATAGATAGAATAGGTTGAATCCAATCTAATGAATACTTTGGACCATTATGGATCGATCCAATTCAATATCTGCTTGTGGCACCTCGGCAAGTCGGGACACCACGAGATGCTTGAACCTTGATCTTGGCCAAGGTACCCGAGATGCCCGAGCTAACCTGGCCAACTGAGGTGTTGGAATGTGTTGAGTTTTCATCTAGTCATCAAGTCGTTCCATGTGTTCATGTGCTAACTGGTCAAGCCAAATTACCCCTCATCAATTGCTCCCCACTCCCGTGCTAGAGGTGCTCAACTCAAGGCGAGAGTTCACGACAAGTCTAGGTGGATTTGGCCCAGTCTGTAATTTGGCCGAGGTCTGGCCTATGGGTCAAACCCGAATGACCCAACTAGCTCTACCTTAGAGCTAGATTGCGTCTCAGGAACACGTGAATGTCACGCGGACTATAAACTTCGTGGACATCAAACACGTGCTCAACCGAATTCGACCTCGAAAATCAAGCGACCGCCCTCCCAAGAACCATTGGATCTGATCGATTTGGGTTGTCCGTGATCGACTATACCGATTATAAATAGGGGCTTTAGGGGCCCATATCCCTTTGTCCTGTTTAAGTTCTCGCACTTGGAGGTTGCGCATTCTCTTCGTGTCTTCAGTGTCACTAGGTCGGTTGTCAAGGCCAATCTTTCTCTCTTGTTTGATAAGTCGTCTCTCCTGCTTAGTTCATTCTTTCTTCTTCCATTATGTCGGGTAGTAGTGAGTCTAGTAAAGAGAGAGTGGAGTCTGGTCGGGCCAACGAGGGTACCTCGGTTCAAGACCGACAAGGTTCCCATAAAAGGGTCTCATCCTCTCGCCAGGATTGAACAAACTCGATAAGCCTTATCAGCTCACACAAAGTCCATTTCCGGGTGTGAAATGGACTCCGGATAACGCAGGTCAGAGATCTCGAACATGTTTCGTGAGGCCTATGGCAGCTCACCTATATAAGGGCATCACCTCCAACCACATAGGGTATGCGCGATTTAGCTCTCTAGCTCTTTTACTTACAAGCACTCAAGCTCGCAACTACACTCTTCGCTAACTTAAGCATCAAAGTCCCCACACTGGGTAAAGCACCCTGGGTCCTTTAATTTTATATGAATTTTGATGTATACAATTGCATATATATACAATAATTAAATAAATTAGTATAATAAAATTGAAAACAATTATTTATTTTATTAATATATTATATACTATATTATTATATGATTATAATTTATATAATATATTATATATTATATAAATAAATATATAAAATGTATAAACATATTATATATATAATATAT